TCAAAGTGTTTGGACCCACTCCAGCTTTTGCTGGACTCATGGTAGAGTCCCTCCAGCTGGCACAGAGGGAACTGTACAGGCTCCTTGTGCTCCAGTGCAGCAGCCTGGATCCATGAGAGAGCAGTAAATACCATTTGGCATCACTGTTTTTCTCAGCAGACTTCCCTCCCACTTTTAGAGAGGAAAAAAAAGGGAAAAAAAATCTTGCTAGTCTCGCTACTTTCTACTGGAGGAATGTTTATAAAGTATTCTTTTTTAACATCAGTAAAACTCAAGATTTCTCATTGTTGAAAACTACTGTGATGATGGAAAGCTTTTTCCTGGTTTGATAATGAGGTGTATTTTTCACTCTTTACTCTCTTGACTCTTTAAATAGCTTTTATTAGTATAATCTATCCTCTTTATCTTGCTTCCCACACACAGAGAAAAATATCCCATAGAGAATAGTGTTCATATGCATTTATTAGTTACTATGAGCTTCGTTACTGCATTTCATACTAAGCTTTAAAAATTTTAATCATGCATTGTCCTCTTAGAAAAGATGCTGCTTACTTGCTTAGTGAGTAGTAAGCCTCCAAGAAAGCTCACTGAGCAAAAACATTGGAATTCAGCTGGCAGTTATATAAAATAATTTAATGTGTAGTTAATATATTAAGGCCTTTAATGAGGACCTAGCATGAGAAAAAATGAGGCTTAATATTACTGTATGCTCGCCAGCTTGAAGTTCGGCCCCACCAAGTGAGACAATGTGATGTACTTTGAGTTCAAACTGCATTTAAAACCCTTCACACAAAAGCAGTTAGGCACCTAATCAGCTGTGTCTGGAAGAGCACCCATTTTGTTCATATTAATCTGAAATTATGGTCAGTGCTGCCAGTACAAAGGGAACCTCCATTAAAAGGGACTTGTTTTATTCCCACATAATAGATACAATATTTTAAATTTCATAAATTCATCTTTAACTTGCCTGAACTCTCTCTCTTTTATGAATAGTTCAGACATGAGCTGGGAATGCTCATTTCTCTGGCATTTATTTGGAAATCACAGCTCATGATACCATCAGTTGCTAATACCTCAAACAGCATGCTTTTATGCATCTTGTTTACATAGATTTTTTTTTAATATCATTGCTCTTCATTAGGCTTTATATACTATGATTAACATCCCTTGTCCTCAGCAATTAAATAATTTATCAGATGACAGACATTACTGTACAGGACCACCACACACTGAAAAATTAGGCTCACTTCAAGAGAAGCAAGTATCTCCGCACCAATTATCACCAGTGGTAGTTATGCATAATAATAAAAAGCTTTCTAGAAAGATAATGAGGCAGATTTTGCTTTCAATAACACTAATGTAAATGCATAATAATTCTGGCACATCCACAATGTGGTTCTTCCAGATTTACATAACCATAGCTGGACTGCGTTTATCCAGTAGAACAGATTTCTTGTCACTGCCTGGATCCAGAACTGCTGCCCTCAGCAGCGTAGCTGACTTCAAGCTTGGGGACACAATCTTTCACCTGTGAGCTGAGACATAGCTTTAGTGATTTTTTTTGTTTGCTTGTTTCCCATTGTGTCTAATAAATGTTTTCCATCTCCTCAGATGACAAGAATCAATAGAGGACCAGGGACGCTTCTGGCAGTCAGAAATCCGACTCTAGGGATACAAGCCGATCTCATTGCCATTTTGCTCCTAAAGTATGGAATGGTGAGAAAGTCTTTTATTGGGGCCAATCACTGTTAAAATAGATGTGGTTAAATTTTGCTTGCCATCATTTAGATTATCAATAAAGAAAATAATGTGTTTCCACATGGATTTTTTTCTTTTCTCTTTTTGATAGTTCAAATTCCACTGAAATATAAAGATGAAACCACTCTCCAACTCTTGAAATACCTTACAGAGCAATTCCTTGAGTGTTGCCACAGACTAAGGATGAAGAATCAGTGCAGATTTTCATTTTTATAATCTTTGATATAGTTCTTCACAAGATACCACTAAGAAAAGAACTGGAATTATGGGTTGCAATGGAAAGTTAAAGAGCAGTGATATTATTTGCAATGGAGTTTAGTCAAATCTGCTTATTTCAGCAACCACTGTTCAGCGGCAGGTATGAGTGTCCCATGCAAATCACTAGTCACGAGTTTCAGTGGCACTTTGCCTATGCAAGACAAGATCAACGCAACTGATTATAATCACTGCTTCCCTCCTCTGCAGTAGAAATTGGCGCTGTGACACACGATACCAGCTGCTGGACACCGGCTACTATAATAAAAGTTAATTTGCATGATGCTATGGCCTGCGTTAATTTTCAATGTGGCAAAATGCTAACAGTTGACCCAACCTTGGGCCAGTGTTGTTTCATCAGCAAACTGAAAGAGGAAGTAAGTCATGAGTCATATAAAGTGCTGAAGATGATAGAGAATTATTTAGATTAGTCAAAGCCACAGGAGTCTGGAAGGATATTAGAGTAACGTAAGAACATGCAGCAAAGCAGCACAGTGGCAGCTGAAATTCTTTGTGGCAAAAAAAAAAGACATTAAGGCATTTACCTGGAAAGAAGGTACAATTTGTACAAACTGGAATAGCTTCACTAAGGGACTGAAAGAAACTTCCATGGTCTCCCCACTTCCTCTTCCCCCCCAAGTCTTCCAGAATACTCTGCAGCCAGCTCACTAGGAAACCCTGCAAGAATTATGTATGGTTTAGGTTAAATTTCTGTGTGATATCAGGTAGATAAGGGATTAAACCCCAAGCCTCTGATATTTCACTGAGTACCCTAGCAGTAAGCCCTTGGACTTTGAATTATGTTTTTATGCAAGAAAAGAAAGAGCATGTGGAGCAGCCACATTACAAAGGGCCGCAGTGGCCACTCCTGCGTCCTGGATGGAGCCTGGTCCATCAAGAAAGCTCTCGCTGAGCCCCTGAGGGGGCATGAGCAGATTATCAAACTCTTGGATCCCTTCCAGGACACTATATGGGTATTGCTTTGCTCAGGATATGTAGTGATGTGTGACCAGGCACCCAATTCTGAGACCAAAAAGTAAAGTGAGATGGAGCTGCTCTCAGATTTTGGGCTCCCTTTAAACCCCAGGTCCACTTCTGCATCCCACCCCAAGATACTCTTATAAAAGTCAAAGACCCAGAGAGGTAAGGAGCAATAGTCCATTTCTCAAACATGTTACCAGAGATTATACCCCACAGCGATGCTGTTAAAAGATGGCCATTCTCTATGGTTAAGAACAGTGTTTAAATTGACCTTTGACTTCCAAAACAGGCTTGTGGTTTTTTAAGCCATGGTGAGAAATCTGCAACAAATGCAGCTGGGGTGCCCCAAATGATAGTGCTTGGTATGAAAAAAATATTCAGAGGGACAGTCTGGGCTGCTGCTCTAAGCAGCATGGCCAAAATTCGCAGCCCAAGGGAAGGGACACGGGCAGCGTCCATGGGTAGCGTGCCCTGCCTCCCCCAGGGAGGTTAGACTGGCCCCGTTTCTGCTTGAAGGCTGGTTACCAGAGAAGAGGTTTGGTATGGGGCAAACATTCAAAACTGTGTCACTAGTTACCTGCAATTTTCTGTCACAAAGTGTGCTCATTCGTCTGCACTAAGAGATAGACTAACTGAAATAAGAAGGTTTTTTGAGATCAAGAACCAGAAGTGGAGTGGTAGAAAGACTACGGCCAAGCACAGCCGACTGCTTTAATTGAAAATCATAGAATCATAGAATCATAGAATCATTGAGGTTGGAAAAGACCTCTAAGATCATCGAGTCCAACCGTCAACCCAACACCACCATGCCCACTAAACCATGTCCCTAAGCGCCTCATCTACACGTCTTTTAAATCCCTCCAGGGATGGGGACTCAACCACTCCCCTGGGCAGCCTGTTCCAATGTTTCACCACTCTTTCAGTAAAGACATTTTTCCTCATGTCCAATCTAAACCTCCCCTGG